AATAAACTTACTTTAGTTACTTTACCTTAAGTTTTTACTTATTTTACTACCTTTAGTTTTTTTTTTTTTTTTTGGAATTCTGAAATTTCTTCCCCAAACAAGACTCATAAATTCCCCTCCATTCCATTTCCATCATTTGACCTTTTCATGTATAAATTCTTTTGAAGTTATAACTTCTGTAAACCAATTTATGGGCATGCCACTATTTTAGCATAAAAATGGCTAATGAGTAATACCTTTCTACCAAACACACCAACTATTTATTATCGGTTTCAACACTTTCATCAGGACACCTAACTGATTAATTTTAGCACTTAAATATGATTTTAAGTACTTGATATTTATTAGCTACTTTTAATCAATTAACTCAAGTGGGGAGAAATAACCAAGCTTGAAATTTTTCGAACAAATGCCCTTTTGAGTATCAAAAAAAGGGCAGTCTGACGCACAAGACATCGTGCATTCACGCACGGTCTAGGGAAAGAGCAGCACCCCAAGTGGTGTGATGCCGACTACTTACCTTAAAATGCAAGCATTAGTGGTTATTTCCACGGCTCGAATCCATGACCTATAAATCACACGGAGACAACTTTACCGTTGCTCCAAGGCTCCCCTTCCCTTTTTTGTTAGGTCGAAATCATAAAACCACAACCAGAAGGGTGTAAATAAATGGTGCAAACATGAAAATGGAACAGCTGTGAAAAGAATGGACTTCAAATTAAATTGCTCAAGATAAGCATCATATCAAAATCAATATGAATTTTATATAGACATGACATTGATTCTAAAGTTAAGTGTGCTATAATTGCTCCTTATCTGTACATTGGTTTAATGACTTGATATATTACTTTCAAGGTGAAGAAATGGTCCAAAAATCTGCAGTCTCCTTTGCATACTTGTTTCTGGAGCAGCTCAAATTTGGTCCGCGGCCACGCAAACCTTTTCACTTCCACATTTACCTAGCGTCCCCGTCTTGTAATAACCATACCAAAATGAAGATATATTTCGCTCAACAATAAGACTGTTCCATGTGCAAATGGATCAAAGAGCAAGTCGTTGAACACCATCTTAGACAAAGATGATGTAGTCTAATAAGTATCAGAATTTGACTGAGTAACTTCTGAAACTTCTCGTGTCCTTGTTGATAGCCATTTTCCCCATTCCGACCTCCATTGCCTCCGTTTCTTCATTCTGTTTCTTGGTTTGGACAGAGTTTAGAGTATCAATAGCTTTTGATTGTGTGTCGGGCAAGGAAGGTTCTAACAGGTGTGGACCAGCATTGATCCACGGATGAAGAAGGCACTGAGCTGCAGTAGGCCGTTTCTCTGGGACAAAATCAAGTATCGGGACCAGGAAATCGGCCATGTCCTTTGCGTCTTGCTCACTGAATTCATACTTCTCTATTAAAACTTTTTTTAAGGGCCAAAAGCGCAACCGTCTGATGTGCCTCAAGTCACCATGTCTATTGAACAACTCACGTGAATAACGACCACCCAAGGCAATCTGAAAAGAAAATACCATACTTTATAAAACTACTAAAGGAAAAAAAAAACATGATCCAAAGAAGTTTGAAGTGATTACAGAATTTTCTTACTTTTCGTGGCATCATTCCTAGAAGCTCCATCATTAGTGCTAAGTGGTCCTGCAAAGAGAAGAAGAATAGGTTTTGCTGTGCTCATCATTACCGAAAAATTGAGTACTAAATCACCATAAAGATGCAGAAACCACGTTTGGATGACTTGCATTTTGCTAACAGACAACAATCGCATATAAGAGTCCTGAAAAATACTGCCGTATGTCTTTTGAAACGTTTCAGTTACCCCTTTAAATTTTATAACCATAAAAAGATTAGGTTTAAGTATGCTCTGTCTATGTGGCTTCCTAAAGTAAAGCAGGTTCAAAACCTGGATAAAGTAGGAGGGTTGCAATGAGTTGACGGTTAGTGTTCAAATATTCTCTGATATAGCCGACCACGTCTAACTTGATTGAAAAGTTTAATTTAAATAGAGCAAAAGCTAACTGAAGCAGCAAATGACAACAACTTTATTTACAAAATTCATGTTTCCTGTTTGATAAGGACCAAGTATTTTCAATATCAGACCAAATGCACAACCAAATTGTGCTTTGTTGCATCATTTGCACTGAAAAAACCTGAGTTTTCCTCCGGAAACCAGAATAGAAAAGGCAACTATACTCTCTAAACTACAATAGTCGCATTGTCAATTCTGTTATCAAAATATGTTGTTTCATCTCCATGTTTCTTAAGTTCCATTATGACTTAATTCCAACCATCATCAGTTGGTGGCAACCACCAGTTTTCTAGCCCTTTGTTCATCGACCAAAGAGGACACAAAAAATTCCTCAAATTTTCTCTCTAGTGTGACCGTAAGTTGAATCCAGTGTGTTAGTTGAGATTAACAGGGTTCACTTACCAGAAAACATATAAAAGGAGTGATTACCAAGACCGGAAGAACTAACATGGTGATCCATGTTTTACAAAAAATAGAACAAAAACACCGTAAGAGAAAAGATATGGTACGTAGTACGGAAGAAAAGTAAATAGATAACTTGGATATGATGCTCAGCACACCATGTACTTTTTGTCCTCTAGATTTTACATCTAAATGCAGTAACAGGAAATCAGGAATAGCAAAAACCATAATTTCTATATATCTTCCTCTTTTTTGGTCAATTTATTCCCATAAACCGTTTATCACCTAATGGCAAAAATAGTTGACCAACCAAAACTAAAGCATCAGATGAGCTAATAAACACAGATGGTTAGAATATCAACAAGAGACATGTGATTGAACTTGATGTCAATCTGTAAGGAAAGAGCGGACGAAAAGGAGTGTTCCACAATTTCACTCATGGAATTTGGAGAGACAAACAAGGAATGGAAAAAACTGTGCCTAGGTTAATCCTGTACTTGTAAGCTACAGTATGATATAGGCTACAAGTGGTATTATGATGCCCAGGATGACCAGAAGATTATACTCTTCCAGCGACTGAACTATCCCTCCGACTCGTCCCCCCACTTTCACAAATTCAGCAATCGAGAGAAAGAACTATTGATGATCTCTGTTCTAATACTAGTAGCCTTACCAGTTACCATTAGAATCCTTAAAGCATATTATTTTTCCTATAACTTCTAGTCGTGAAACTGCAGAGGTTGAGCTGACTTGTATACAAGTTTGAACCTTTTTTGACAATAATGAAGCAATCACACATAACTTAGAGAAATGCATCATCAACTACAAATCATTTCTAGTATGATGTACGGGGCTTGTTTCTTAATGAGCACATGCACAAGTTAGGCAGATGCACTGGTGTACAGCCAGCTACACTAGTGCACCACCGCCTTACTTACCTTAACCGAACCAAGTCCTTCCCCTCTGTTTCACTTATTTCCTACTTAGGGTTATCTTTCAACCTTTTCGATAATGTAATATCATAATCTCATACATTTCTATATTACATGAACAGCTGCAGGGACTATGGTAATGCTTTGTCTAGTTAATGTAACTTCATAGGAAAATTCCACATTAGCAAAACACACGAGAGATGTTGGGTATATAAGGAAGCAAGCCTTAGTAGACCCTAATGATGCTTCAAAGCCATGTTGGTCTAGGCTCAAAACGGACCATATTACTAGTGGGCTAGGCTGCTACATATGGTATCAAAGCCACTCTATGTGCAACTTTGGGCAATGTTGGGGCAAACCTTGAGTTTCAATTAGGTATAGGCAAATCCCACATCTTTGAGATAATGGTGGGGCAAACTTCAGAGTGAGGATGTTGAGTTCCTAAAGAGGGGGTTTATGTAACACCCAAGGAAATCCCACATCAGCAAAACACAAGAGATATTGGGTATATAAAGAAGGAAGCCTTAAACCCTAATGACGAGTTTAAAAGTTGTGCGGGCCTAAGACCCAAAGCGGATATTATTACTAGTGGGTTGGGTTGTTACAGTGAAACAGTTGTATTTCCCTTATCTGTTCAAATTTGGAGTTGGTTATTTCAACGTCCAAGAAAAACCCCAAAGGAACAGCTCAAGTCTTGTTTTGACGCTTCAAATTTAGTTCAGTAATTTGACGTAACTTAATTTGTATATATATATATATAAGCAGGAATATAATATCGGTTTACAAAAAATAACCTTATAATATTAAGCATAATAACTCATAATAAAAGGACACAACCGGAATTCTAGATATTAGCCTTATAATCCTATTAGTTTTAGGACATAATACTATACGTTAGAAATCCTACATGATTACCTCTAGGAATCCTATTAGTATAATTACTTTCGAGATGTCTAATTCTTATAAAATTGAACAAGTAAATATCTTTAGCCATGTAATCCTATTGCTTTTAGGATATACTTCTTAAAAATTCCTATTACTAATTTAATTTTAAAACGTATTATAATATCCTATTACTAATTTAATTTGAGAATGTATTATAATGTCCAAATTCATTTAGAAAAAGGAGAGCCTATATTATTATAAAAGTATAAATACAATACTAATATATCAAAATAGCCCTAAAATATTAAGCTAAAGAACTCGTACGGAAATGACATAATTGTAATAACTTATTTTTTGGACAACAACACCTTCTATGCTAATTTTTAATATTTAAAAATTTAAAAATTTATGCAAATTTTATCTATTAAATTCTTATTAAAAATATGTAGGAAAGTTGAATAAAATTAATTTCATAAGAATCCTCCATATTGGTAATACATTACCACTCTATAATGTCCAATACCAAGAAAAAATAAAAATAATATTAAATGGACTGCATAAGAGTTGAAATTGAGAAAAAGATACCCCACTATTAATACATTTTATATTTAAACTATTTTTCTACTCAAATAATATTTTTTATCAATTTTTCGTGTAATATTAAAAAATACTCAATTATTAAACAACAACTAAGAAAATATTTAAGNCTTCTCTATATCACACCGAAATTGCAGACCCAAACGTTATCCCGGGATAGTAGTGTTTTTTTATCCCCATGGAAAGGTAGAATAACTAATCCCGGGATAATTAATCCTGGGATAACTTCTTTCCAACCAAACGACCCCCTAGTGTCACGAGCTTCACGCATCTATTTAATTTTGCTTTTCTTGTTTTTATCCATTTTTTGCTTTATTATTTCAAGCCTAAGGAAAATATATGAAAAAAGAATACAAAAGATAAAGGCTTGAAACACGTTAAAAAAAAAAAATCAAACGCAATATTGCTCCTTCTCCTTAGCAAGTTGCTGGAGATTTTAATGCAAATGAATGTGACAAGACTTTTGAATTTCTACACTAAAGCAAATAGTGAAGAAATTCTATTAGGAAAATAAGGAATAGTTTTGGTTGTCAAGTGCAGAATTTAGAGACAAAGGAGAATTTTTGGAAGAGAAGATAAGACTAGAAAAAAAAAATCTTGCAAAATAAACATTAATTTAGAGGGTGTTTGGGTAAGTTTATAAATTTTCGTGTTTGGTAAACACCAGATATGCTTATAAGCTGAAGTTATTATAAGCCAATTATCTAAATGATGGTCACCCCCAACTTATGATTTTTCAACTGATAAACACTTTTGATTTTACCAAGTTTTTTACTTATTTTATCCCTAATTTTTTTTTTTTTTTTGTTTAGTTACTTGAAGTTTACTTTCCCCTAACCAAAGTAACTCTACTAAATTAACCCCTTCCCCTACTTACCTTACTTTACCTTAC